GGAGTCTACATTCCTGTCTTTTGCGAGCAATATCGCCGTTATTTCTGCTTGGATTTTGTTGACTTTTGAGTAAGTTGTAGCTGAGACTATATGCTATCTAAATCAACCCTCATTTTTTCAATAAGATGTCATGATCGCGCTCATGATCATGATCATTATCATCATGATCATCATTATCATAATGATGATAATCATTTATCAATTACATTTTCATTTCTTTGAATAAGATAAAATCGTCAAAAGGTGTTCTTCATGATGTAAATTAGAGTCAAATGTGTAACTGGTTACTGCACAGGGTCAAAGGTCATATATTGTTTCAATCTATCTTCCCTAGATCCATGATGATCAAGGAGACACAATTTAATCTTGACATATGAATAGATCATAATGGGAGAAGCATATAAATGGGAGAAGCATTTTACAAAATAATATATCGTGTAATGCATTATTCGTTATGTAAACCATTATCATACGTATCACCTAATTCGTCTAAGTGACGAATTAAAGTCTAGTTTATTTTTATTATTCTTCCTCGAATTTGTTCGCAGGATATCTCAAGACTGAATAAAGCCATTATCATGAAACTTTCAATGATGATAGATCTTAGTCTAACTTAGAACTGTGTGACTTTTCAGACAGTCAAGGTCATCGTGACGTCATCCAGGCGCTATTTTGTGAAAATCAACTAATGATCATATCTTCATAACGAATAGGAATTTTTCATTTATATTTATCATGATTATGATCAATATCCGTCCAGTCAATTTCAAGTCAAAAAACGTCCGTAAAAGCGCGCGTGCGCGCTCGTCCGCGCGTTTACGCGCGCGCAAAAAATTAAAATGCTCTAAATCATCCCAAATTTTTTTTGCAAACGTTTCAGGCCATATGAAGCATTTGATAAAAAAATTACGCACACGCGCATGCGCGCGCGTTTTCGCGCGTACTGGCATTTTGCAACATAGAATCGCCGATTTTTTTCTGTCATCATATTCGGTACATTTTCCAAGCATTTTGATAATTTGTTCACCTTTTATTAACGCAATGAGCGTCCGTCAAAGTTGACAGCACGCGCGGATTTGCGTTATCTTTATCTACAATACATGGGCAAAAACATGCATATATAAAATTCATTGTAACTCTTTAGAATAGATAGAAACTCCTAATATTTTGTCATATTTGGATAGATGATGAGTTGGAAATATGATTTCATGTCTCATTTTATCCTCAATTAACTCATGACGTCATCATAATGGCCTCCAAACTCAAAATTTCAATTTGCATGTTATGACGTCAGCATATTTTTGGAAAATTGATTGTATCTCTTTAAATATTGATCAATTTTCTTTTTAATTTTGATATGTTCTAGCTGAGACAATTTTCTACAAATGTTTTTTTCACAATTTTTATTTTTGACAAAAGTATCATGGTGTATTTTTGCGATTAAAGGAGGCATGTCAATTTTTCGCATTTTGCGTGTATTCTCTACGGGACATGACTTTTTCTCAAAACTGGATTCTACACTCCTGTCTTTCGCGAGCAAAATCTCCGTTGTTTTAGCTTTGTTTTCGCTGAGCTTTAGATATGTTGTAGCTGAGACAATAAGCTAACAAAAGTGTGTCCCTTATTTTTCGATTAGATGTCGGAATCATGCTCATATTTTACTTGCAAAGTAGGATTTCTGAATTCCATTTCCCGTTTACGTGTAATCGCTATGGGAGATGTTTTGGTATATAGGTAACGCACTTGACTTCCAACCTCGAGATCCCTGGTTCGAGTCCGGGTGTCTCCAACACTTTTTTTTTCACTTTTTTTTCCTTTTGACCTTCACTGTACCATCTCCTTTGATTATTTAAACACGTAGATTCGCAAATAATGTCATAAATAACCCTTTTTACTTTATTATTACCCTATTTTTCACTTAGTCCATTACTTTTTGCGTGTAATCCCTATGGGAGATGACTTTTTCTAAAATCTGGAGTCTACATTCCTGTCTTTTGCGAGCAATATCGCCGTTATTTCGGCTTGGATTTTGTTGATTTTTTAGTATGTTGTAGCTGAGACTATATGCTATCTAAATCAACCCTCATTTTTTCAATAAGATGTCATGATCGCGCTCATGATCATGATCATGATCATCATGATCATCATTATCATAATGATGATAATTATTTATCAATTACATTTTCAATTCTTTGAATAAGATAAAAATCGTCAAAAGGTGTTCTTCATGATGTAAATTAGAGTCAAATGTGTAACTGGTTACTGCACAGGTTCAAAGGTCATATATTGTTTCAATCTATCTTCCCTAGATCCATGATGATCAAGGAGACAAAATTTAATCTTGACATATGAATAGATCATAATGGGAGAAGCATATGAATGGGAGAAGCATTTTACAAAATAATATATCGTGTAATGCATTATTCGTTATGTAGACCATTATCATACGTATCACCTAATTCGTCTAAGTGACGAATTAAAGTCTAGTTTTTTTTTTTTTTTTGTGATTAATTAATTAATTTATTATTATTATTATTTTTTTTAAAAACTAGATTCAGCTTCTATACAGATCTCGTGAGATCTCCTACTTTCTCCCCCGGTTGCTGTAGGTATTCATCCTGACCTATTTAACCATACACCTATGATGTCATCATATGAACTATGCTCATTGCCGTTCACTTCTACACTTGTGTCATGCATTAAAGTTGGGTAACTATACATTTCATGTTGAGGTGTTAATGCATTTGCATTCTAAACTGTTTGGAGCTACTCCTGCTGCGCGAGGAAAGATAGGGGCAAAACCGGCTATTGTGATCGGACTTAAAGATCCGTCGAGCTAGCTACATTTCGTAGTCGGGAAAATTCCCCTATGGCCCACTGGTTCCTGAAACATTTAGTGCGACCAAGTCTTACTGACTCCAGTCCTTGCCAGCAGACTCAGGCTCCCTTATCACTAGACAATTATAATGTAATGCCATGTGACTTCAGATTTTCCAGATTCAGAATCAAAACATTTCCACCTCATAATATAAACAAAGCCAAAATACATTTACATTGACGAATCATACATCACCCTTTTACATGCGCACTGACTGCCTTATCCCCAGAGGTAAACAAATTTGTGTCACAGTATATATCTTTTATAGATTACTTATTGAAACAAGCATGACTTGACAGTACAGAGTTATATATTAAATGTATCAGAATCTTCCACGACTGAATTACTTTTCAGTGTGTAATAGTATTTCTCATGCCTCCCGTTACCTGGATATCATCTTATATTTTCAAACCCAACCTCATGGAATAACCCAAATATAACTCAATTCAACTAATTGACTTTTATCGCTCACTTTAGGTTTTCATAGAATACTATTGACATTAGGCTGAATCTGTTCAGAGAAGGCCAGTGTCCTTGGCTGCAGATTCGAATTTATCGATGAGCATGTCCGAGCCCACATCTGAGAGATGAATTCCATCCCTATGGAACAGACTGTGCTCTTTGGTATCTATATTGTGCACTATCATTGATGTGTTCACCATCTGGGAGATTCTCCTCTTTGCGAATTTGTTAAGTGACTTCCGCACACCATCCATTGCCTCTTGTGATGTTGGGCCTGGTCTGCTACCGTAGTAAAACAATCTTGGAAGAATACCAGACCAGGCTATGTGGGTTCCTGGCATTCTTGCTCGTAGAGTTTGAATTGCTGTATCGATTGCGATTCTGCAACGGCATGCATCTCTCTGACCCAAGTCGTTTGTTCCCAGGTGAACGATCGCCAGTGCAGGTGGTGCATTGTAATTCAACCTATTTGTGACCATTCGGGGGAGGTCATGGAGAGTAGCACCTCCTTGACCATGCCACTGTACTGCACCCTTCTCTGCTCCCATGTGCAGGCGGTTCTGTGCAGTGGCTCGCTCTTTGGCCCTTCTTACGATACTGTCCCCCACTTTCCAGACTCGGTTGCGTACTCGTCCTGAAATAAAATAGTTAAACTCCCGAAAGTAACATGTTCAAATATTTGGGAAGAACAAAATATAAAATTTTCTTGTGAGCTTTATTTTCATAATTGTAATAACTCCCTAGTACTTAGTATGGAGTAAATGTAACTTGTCTTATATAGCGCAAATAAACTTCACTGCGCCACCTACCCATCTTCCTAATTTGTTCTGGTGGCACACCATTCAAGGCAGCTGTGGTAGCTGCCCCAAATCGGAAAGAGTGAGACCCATACCGACTAACATTCGCCCCAATTTGCTGAATGTTCTTTTTCAGGACTGCACTGAACTGGTACCTTGTAAGGGGGGAGCCATTCTCATGACAGAATAGTAGACCCTCTACCTGTGGCCTTGCTTAACCCGAGAAATGTCAATCTTTTGGTAGGCCCCTCGGATTTCTCTGCCGCTAATGGAACCCCTAACTCCTCACAGATTCCTTTGAGAACTTGTACCATCTCGAGGCATGACACGCCCCCGTGCTCTATTGAACTAACACACAAGAAGTCATCAACATAGTGTATAATCCTGTTTGAGCCACTTCGCTCCCGAACACAATATTCTATGAATGTGGAAAAGGTCTCGAAATACGCTGGAGCACATCTGACCCCCATGGGCAAGCATTTGTCGAGATAATATTTCCCCTCAAATTTGACCCCTAACACCTCAAAATCTTTCGGGTGCATAGGCAACAATCGAAAGGCGGACTTAATATCCTCCTTAGCCAAGTCAACTCCCATTCCAGCCTCGGCGACCATCTCAACCGCTGTATCAAATCTAGTATATTCCACTTTACAATGCTCATCTGCAATAAAATCATTCACAGAGTATCCAGGCGGGTATGATAAATGATTGATTAATCGATAATCCCCCGGGGATTTCTTTGGCACCAAGCCAATTGGGTTAGTTCTCAAATTTTTTAGTGGCCTGGACTCAAAGGGACCTATGTATCGCCCTAGCTTAATCTCCTTCCGTATCTTCTCTTGTGTAATGTCCTTGTTATTTTCTGCTGATTTTAGGTTGGGTAAGTCTACTGGCATGCGAGGGCCTGTATAATTCAAACAAAATCCTTCTGTGAAACCACTTTCCAAAAACCTGGCTGCTCGCTCATTTGGGTAGCTTTTTAACAATTGTTGTAGGCTCTTTATTTTAATAGGTGACTTCCCCAAGGATATAACCTGTCCTGTAATCTGTACATCTCTACTGTTACTGTGTATTTCACCTTCAAGCCTGTCCTGATTTCTATTTTTTGTGTGTTCTATCTGTCTCCTAGGAATTGCCTTGTTTGGCTAGTGCTAGGGTTATATGTTCGCTTCCATTCCCTCCTGTTGGACCATGGGGCCGATCGCCCGAGTGGACGGTCTTGGCCACGAACTCCCCGAGGAGGTCCCCCTCCCACTACATGAAGGAGCCACAATTCTCCATCTATACCTGCCCAAGATCCACCTTTCTTGTGGTAGCGGTGACGAAATTCGATATCATAATCTCTCCACCCATACCCATAATAGCGCGAAGCAGCAGATCGAATAAGGTGGCAGTATTTCAGTAAGTCTTGTGCGCAATTCAAATTTGCTTCCAAAACAATGCTAGCATACACAAGAAATGCATTAGTCCACAACTCTATGGTTGCAATCTTATTCTTGGATGTCGCGCTGACAGGTTTCAATACCAATCTCCCGTCTTCCTGAGTCATTGCCAAATTCGTCCTTTGTTCGTCTCTAGCTTCCCACTGTGTGTGTGCTGTCACCTCTTGGGCATTCACTAACACATTAAAATCCACATACTCGCCTTTCCATATTTTCTCCCTAATGTTATTGGGAATGGCCGAGCCTAGTCTATCTCCAACTGGCCGTAGTGGGGATTGGGGCGGGGAGTCATTTACTGCGAACCCGGACCTATGCTCGGTATGTGGTACCGATGAATTACCGATACCTGTGTAGCTAGGTCTGCTGTTATTATCATACTGACTTCCGATTGGCCTAGATCCAGGCGCGTACGCAGGGGGGGGGGGGGTTTGGGGGGTTAAACCCCCCCTTTGGAAATTTTTTGTGTGTAAACCCCCCTAAAAAAAACCTAAACCCCCCCCCCCCCCTTTTGGATTTTTGGGACCAAAAAAAAAAAAAAAAGTCCTCTTACCCCCCCCCCCCCGCTTATTCAGCGGCTGGCTGAGTCGTTGCGAAATTTTCGGACCGATTTATAAATGTTAAAACCCCCCCCCCCCCCCTTGAAAAAATCCTGCGTACGCGCCTGCCTAGATCTATATTGAATGCCTCTTGAGACATGCCCTTGATTCCCCGACTCCAAGTCAACATGGGGCACGATTGTAGGGAACGAAGTTAAAAGTGGGTTCGCCCCTGTTATGTGACTATTGTCTGCCCCTCTGTGTGGCCTGGGGCTTGTCGTACCGACCCCAGCACTAATTACTGTGCAATTAGCCATAGATCTAACTTCGGTTGAAGTAGCATTAGTACTAGTGGGTAGATCAAGATCTAGATCTATCCGTACCTCACCTGTTGACTGTAACTGCAACTGTGATCCCGGCTGTGATGGTTGGGTATTCAGGGCTGCTGCTGCTGGTGGTGGTGGGGTGCTCGAAATTGCTGGTGGGATGCCTGCTGCCGGTAATGCCGGGATCGCTTCAGGTAGGCCTACTCCGCTGTCTTCTGTTAGCGGCCGAGACTGCACTGCCCGTGCCCTCTCTGTGCTGCTTGCCTGACGACAGCGCCTCGCCCGTCCGTTGATGCTTGTGGGTGAGCCACTGCTGGCCGGAGTTTGCGCTGAATTGTTAGTTTTCTTGCTAATTGAGCTGGCTCTAGTGCCCTTCCGACTCTTTTCAGCTGTACTCTGTCTTTTCTGCTGGGCATTAGCACCGCCATTGGCGCACTCATTGGTCTTTCTCTTTCCCATTTCGCTATTTTTTTTTTTTTTTTTTTTTTTTTTTTGCAGCTCTAAAACAATCGACTGCCTTGAACGGAAAATGAAGCGAGAATGGCTATTCAAAGCGCGCTCATTTGCACGCATAACTTTGCCAAATTATTTCCGCACTAGAAAATGTTCACATGCACACCACATGAGTCGGATCTTTACGCGCATGTTTTGATACTTCTGACCCCAAAGTTTGTTGACCTGATTCGAACTCTAGCTTCTCCCAAAATGTGCTGATCAGTTTATGCTGATCACATTATTTTCTTGCTTTATCTGCAGGTCAGGAAGCGTTCAGCAGAGGGGGACTACCATAGCGCTGCTGTCGCATCTTCTGAAGCGGCACGTTGGTCCACCGTTGGGTTTATGGTTGGCTGTGTTGTAACGGGTGTTTGTGTCACCGTCGGTTGTGTACTTGGTATACCTAGTGGAATATATTAGAATCACGAAGAGGAAACGAAGGAGGAGAGGGGAACCATCATCATGATTAGACAGGAAGAAGGGCAGCGTAGTTTAAAACCATATCGTTTCATATCAGTTTGTTGGCATTCACGACCACAACCCTCACTTATATAGATCCTCGCAAGACTCTGCCAAAGGACCACTTTCTTTTCTTTTCATCTCCAAGTAGTCTCCAAACGGTTGAAAGGGCAAGAGAGAGAGAGAGAGAGAGAGAGAAAGAGACAGAAAGTACCCTCGTTAAATGTTTAGTGATACGTGTTAAAATATGATACTTAACAATTAATCACTTTTTAATTGGAACAAAATACTTTACTATAAATAAGATGACAATACTACATATACTCAGATCTTTGTAACTCGGAGGACAGTTTTCACATTTATTAGAATAGCTCTGAGTATGAAGTGCTAAATGTGTCACAGGATTTCTTTTTCAGTAGAATACGGACTTGTAATGGTCTTGTCATCTACCTCCCAAAAAAAGATAAATCTTTCAAGTAAATAATGCTTTTACAAAAGAAATCTAATTATCTTGGAGAGATTTATCTTTTTTAGATAACACTTCTGAAGAATTTATTCATAAACAAATTTTAAAGAGTAATTCATTTATTAAGGTGAATGGTTCTATAATATATAAGAAAGATTGAGTAAACAGATGAATCGTTAGAATTCATCTTTTTCTGCAACGGGATGGTAATTTTCTGAAGTATTTTAACTTTGTACAAAATTCAATGTTCATTTCAATTTTCTAGACTATTATTCAATTATATGGGCTATACCTTTGAAATGGAAGCATATTTGCAAAGACCCACCTAAGAAAAATTTTAATTACCGAGAAGAAATTATTTGCAGGATGAGAAAGCTAGTTAAGTATGTAAACTAATTGATAAATTGTGTGTTGACAAACTCTTTAAAGTTCCAGTTTCCCAAAAGAAATGGGAAGGTATTGTTTCCGAATCAGTTGTTAATTGGAATACAAATTTACATCATTCCATTTGAATGTCCTTTGTCGACAAGATTAAGGCATTGTCAGATCAAAGGAACTCACAATATTCTTGATGTCAATAAGTATCTAAGGACTATTGGTCTGATCCCATTCTGATATAAAAATTATGTACGTTTTATTCAGAAGACATTAAATCTATTAAACACTTATTTTTGGAATGCCCCGTAACTCGTCGATTCTTTGAAGATTTTGAAAAATATACCCTAACAATTATAGGGAAGAGAAGAGAAAGAATAACGGCTTTGTCATGACATTGTCCTGTTTTAACAAACGAAAAAAATGTGTCTTTAAGAGACTTATGAAATTGTCTACTGTATCAACCTGTATCAACCTACTGTAGCAGCTACCGGTTGAAAGGATCTCGCACTATACATGTATATAGTAATTTGTTGATATTAAGGGAGGAACTAACAAGGATTTTGACTGAAAGCCAAGGTTTCTTGCCGGGCAATAAAATAATATTTAAGTTAACATGTAATGAATTCATCTTTGGCATCCCAAGTGAAAAATGTTTCCCTTTAATTTCGTTATTTTATATGTAAAATATTCTATATTTCGACTAGATGTTTGAAAGGATCTTTATCATTTTCATGCTTTTATAATAAATTGAAATATTAGTATATTAGTATACAGGCGCCAACAATAGGTGTCTTGTATTTCTTGATAGGTGGAGGTACGTCCAACTTATCTTAATACTATAATCTTGTTTTTCATTGTAACTTTCTTTGTCAAATGTATGTATCCACCATTTTGTACAATTGCTTACGTTGTTTTACGCTTTGAAAAAAAATTGAATAAAGACTTTATTTGGTGAACAAAACACGAACCAAAGTGTTCTATTTACAAGTGTTTTAATTAAAATGTTGTTTATTTTAATTCAACTATTTCTTTAAAAATATTTGAAAGGAAATATAATATAAGCGTGTGGTAAAAGTAGTGTGAGAAATATTTCAATATTTGAATATTCTGCTACAGAGAACTTTATTTTCCCCTCTTGTTTATAAGGATGACTCTGACGTCATATTGAAATAATGTACGTACATGGTCATACGTGTCAGTTCACACTTATATTTACCTAATTATATTTTTCCTATCCGCCCTCCGACACACACACAAACACACGCACATGCACACACAAATCAGGACAATACACTCACACACAAACACACGCCCATAGACGCACACACACACACACGCACACACACGTATCAATTACAATTACAATATGAGAATTACTTCCGGAAAATTACCTTCTTAGAACAACCACCCCAAGAACAATACCCCCCCCCCCCCCCGAAGAAAATTACCCCACACCCCTGAAATTACCCCCTAGGAAAATCACCCCTTGCACATTAAAGTGGAAGTCTACCCTGATAATAAGGTGGTTTTGATATAAACAGATGTTTTTTCGAGGGGTAAGTGACCTCGGAGGGGGGGGGGGGTTATTGTCCACAGACGCTGATACTCCTATTGGGGAATTTATCGGGAGATAATTTTCTTCTGGGGTGGTTTCCCTCGGGGGATAAATTTTAGGTGAGTAGTTTTCCGGGGGCTAATTGTCCTTGTTATTTTTTGTCCCGCGGGTAATTGACCGGGGAGGGGGGGGGGGGGGATTGCCCAGGGAGTAACTGTCATAGAACCATCCCAGGGGGGGGGGGGTTAATTGTCCTAAGGGGTAATTTTCTTCGGGGGGAGGGGGTTGTTCCCGGTGGTAATTTTCCAGGGGGGGGGGGTAAGTGTCCCGCCGGAAATAGGCTGTGGGGTGATTGTCCAGGGAGTAATTGTCCTAGAACCCACTCGAGCGTATCCCCCAGAGCGTTCGACGGCCACACGTCGATCTGTGTAATGTGAATTGGGATGAGCGTTCTATTACTAGGTCTGTGTCTTTGCCCCGATGTTTTGGGGGATCGGGCGATGATACACCGCGCTGCGTGTGGGATGAGGACATAGATGATTGAAGAATAAAAGTGTGGGGGTCAAACGAAATGTGAAAGTATCATGTACATGGTTAATAAGCTTGCTCACGTGTAAAATAAAGGCTCAGACATGTGCCCACTATCTTATCTCTCTCTCTTTCTCCCCCATCTCTCCCTGTCTCTTTCTCTCTCCCTCTCTCTTTCTCTCTCTCCCTGTTGTTCATCAGATTTTATCGAGAATTACCAAACTTGTTTAAAACTTACAATCTAAGAGAGTGGTATTCCAAATGATACAAACATCTAATTTGCATGACAACATGTGTAACTTATAACATCGAATAATTTATTGCTGAAATTGGAGGTTATACTTTGGCGACGAGCGAATGGGAAATTGCAAGTAAGAGGAAACCATAACTCTTTTCCACTCGAAAGAAGGCCCTGAGTGTAGGTATAGCACACCAAAAATAATTACAACAAACACATGTTATTTGATGGTTACAAATGATCAAGCTTTATGAAAGCTTCAAAAAACAAAAAACAGAATTGAAATCAGTCAATGCGTTGTGATTTTATACCCTTTTTTTTTATATCGCAAAATTAAAGAAAAACCTGCCAGAAATGGTCAAATTGGCAAAAATGGCATAATTCGACAAAGTTGACAACTTAATTCATCACTTTCTCGGACACAAATAATACATTAAATTATCAGACACTAAAATATCATCTTTGTGGTAAAAAAATACAAAAAAGAAAATTAATATATCTATTACCGTTTTGAAAACAGAAGCCAACAAAATAAGTCATTTTTGCCATTTTTGCGAATCTGCAGATATAAAAAAGTTGTGAAAATAACTAAGTCCGCCTAATTAAAATGCGCATATGTAATCAAATCAAAACCGAACATGATACATCAGTGAAACCTATGTATATCAGACAGGTATGGAAATATATTACATTTGAAATTTAAAAAAAAATCATGAATATTCATCAAATATGCAAATTAGGTAATTTCAGCTAATTATATATTCGCGCACTTATTATGCAAATTAGGAAAGTCAAACTGTTCATTTTTGGGGCATTTTTAAAATCATATATTCATAGATCATATTAACACCAAATGTTAACCTTAAATTCCAAATATATTTGCAATGCCCATCAAATATGGCGATGGAAATTACTTGGATCACCGTCCCAACTATTTCCTCATGTGTTTCACAAATAATTCAGAAAAACCGAACATATGATAAGAATTGGTAGACTTTCAGCTAAATCACAGTATATTTGCCTATTTAAAGATGTCAGATTTAGGGATTTATGACGACTTTCCAAGAAAATATCCAACAGGCTATAACATTTCACAAGGACTGAATTTCAGAGTGGCAAAAGCTTTGGTGACCCCAGTACAGTTGTGGCTACCTTGAGTGCAAATAATGAATTAATTCAATGAGTGAAACACATGAGGATATTGCATTTTTGTAGGGGAGTTTTATACATTGAGGTGCATTTTATCCACGCAGAATATCAGCACGAGTCAATGCGCGATCAGCGGGCCATGTCACACATGCCTGAAAAGACAGTATTCTAATTAAATAATTAACATATTTCCCACATGAATATAACAATGAAACTACACAGAATTGTAGTTAAAGGAATGCTTGAAATATATGTGAAATAAAAATGTAAACATATTTTTTTAAATACATTTACCAAAATTGCTATTTCTACCAACTGACTGCTGTTGTGTGTGTGTGTGTGTGTGTTCGCGGGGCAGACTGTTTGCACAGGCAGTGTGATCACCCTACTGAGTGTATTTCTACTAAAAAAATAATGAAAACAAGATATTATATGACTTTATTAAATATTA